GCTCAAAGCTTAGTCCAAGCAAAGAAAAATAAACATGACTCAATGATCATTCTACCGAGGCAAGCGATGATCGCTCTACTGAGATTTCTAGGAAAGAAACCCATGCCCTTACCAGCTTGCACAATGGAAATGGGGCTGAAGCTGAAGCCACCATCCCACCTCCTGGGGAAGGCCTGTCCAATGAGAGACAGGGAATGGGGGGCGGGGCCGAGCTCCTGGGGCAGTGTGGGGGCCTGGACCAGGCTGCCCTTCTCCTCTGGATTGTCTCCACATGCCACACCCACCTCCAGGCCTCCCACCCGTTTCTCAGTTCACACAAAAGGGGATTTTTTTTCCCCCACCACTTGAGGGAAAACTGCACGTGTCAAATCGGGGGCCACTTTTCTGTCTCGTCAGAGTACAGCCCTCAGCAGCCTCCCGTAGGAAGCCTGGGCGCTCCTGGTGTGGGCAGTGCACCCCCTCAGCTCCCTCCCTTCTCTCTTGCTTCTCCCTCGAGGTGATGGAGTTGCCAGGGCCCATCCCCATGCCTTCTTACTTGTCTATACCTATCCCATCCATTCCCAGGGTGTTAATCACCACCTATATGTATTTTAAAATATGTTTATTGATTTTTAGAGAGAGACAGAGTGAGAGGGAGAGACATCAATTGGTTGCCTCCCATATGTGCCCCGACCAGGGATCAAACTCACAACGTTTTGGCTTGTGGGCCCACGTTCCATCGGAGCCACACCGGGAGGGGACCACCTGTACTTGATGATGCCCGGTTTATATTCAGCCCAAACCTCTTTTCCAAGCTCCAGAACATTTGCGTAATTCAACTACTATGCTTGAGTATGCCGAACTCCAAATTCCAGCTGCACCGAAAAGTTATTTTCCACCCAGTATTATTCACCTTAGCACACAGGACCACCAACCAGCCAGATGCTTAAACCACAAACCTGGGAGCCATCTAGGCTCCGCATGTAACTCATCAGGAAGACCTGCCACTTTGACCTTCAAAACATGAATTCATTTATGTCCCTCCATCTCCACTCTCATGGCCTGTAATGGTCATAAGTGTGGCCCCACTTTTCTCCTCCTGGGTACGTGGCAGGATGGCACTTTGCCACACCATCTGAAGTTAGGCGTGCCCATGTGATTGACCTGGTCAACAACTTGTGAGAAGAAAAGACATCTGTCACTTCTGGTGGGGAAGAGCTGATGATACACGTCCCTCCCTCCTGCCATGGGGATTATGGAAATTATGTTGAGACGGGGACCCCACCAGCCTGGATTCTGAGTCATTAATATGACCAGAGCCCCTCTGCTAACCCACAAAAAACTGAGCATGAGGAGAAATGAATATGTGTAATGTTAAGCCATTCAGCTTAGGGGCTGTTTGTTACTGCAACACAAATTAGCCCATTCTGTCTCATGCACAAATAGAGTGCAAGTCCCCCAAACTGCTGCAAGAGCCTCCCACTTTTACTCTCTCTCTGTCCACACAGCAGTCAGAGCAACCTTTTTACAGTGCAAATCAGACTCCATCGCTACCTTCCTCGGACTTTTGGGCAGCTTCCCATTGTACCTGGAAGAAAACCCAAACTTCTTCCTATAGCCTAAAAGGCCCTGCATGACCTGCGCCCTGCCTCTCACTCTGACCCAGTCTCCCACCAGCCTTCCTCACTCATTTCTGCCCAGCCCCCCTCTACTCCTCGCTATCACTAAGGCACTGAACACTTTCAGAGCTTATGCCCATGCCATTCCCTCTGCATGGAACCCTTCCCTGCACTAGTCACACAGCTGGCTCTTTCTCATCCTTCAAGCCTCAGCTCACAAGACACCTCCTCAGGGAGCCCCACCACTGCTACACTCTGCATTTCCTCGTTAGCTCATGTCACAAGGTAGAATTGCATTTGTTCTTCATTGTTATTTACTTGTTTACTCATAAAATTGTAAGCTCTGTGGGGTCTTCATCGGCCCTCATTAAACATCTGTTGCATAGAGGAATGAGTGGACTAGAAGTTCTACAGAGGCTGATGGTGGTGACGCGGATATCACTGACCAGCTGACCAATCAGCCTTGCCCTGCAGGACAGCACCTTCCAGGTGACGGGGCCAGAGTCCTCTCCGCTCAGGAGAGGAGTCTCTTATTCCCCTCAGGAGCTGAAGCGCCTGTGAGATACTGGGGTTTCTGCAGAGGGCTGGGCTGGGACTGTGCTTCCTCACCACTCCTGCAGCTCCCCAGGCGCCGGCCCAGCCTGGAGCCAGTCCCTTCCCGGCTGAGGGCTGAGGAGCACGCAGCCAGCTCCAGTGGGGAGGTGGCCAGTTGCTGCCGTCACAGAGAGAGTGTCCTGGCCAGCGCTCTAGAAATAGCCTAAGGTCAAGGTGGGGTGCTTCCGTCCCCTACCTATGTAGAAGTCTGGGGAGAGTCTAATTCCAGATTTCCCTCCGCCCCACTACTGGGATTCCTTAGCCTGATCTGGAACTCCCAATTTCCAACCACCTCTCAAAGACCCCTTCTTTACCACCGGTCTCACAGAACCCCTGTCCTCCTACCATGTGTCTGCGATAGAGAGGGTGGGCCTTATCCCATCTCATGGACGGGGCATGGGGCTCAGGGAGGTCAAGGGTCTCTTCCAAGGCCAAACACTGGGTTACCGATTAACTGGAATTCACAGGTAGAGACCCTTCCCAGCGTCAGTGCCTCCTCCCAGCAGAACCTTCCATGTGAGGGAGGTGCAAAACCGACTTCCACAGCCTCTGCCCCAGGCCGGGCTCAGCCACGTGTCACTGCTCTCCAGGGCTGTTTGCCCTGTGTACTCAGACCCTATTTCCTGGTGCTGGGAGAGCGGTTTGGCTTCTTCAGCTGATGTCCCTGGGACCCTGCTCTTTTCTGCCTGAATCCACAGCATCCATTTCTACCTCTGGTCCTGGATACTCTGACTGCTCGCCCAACTCACCCACCTGACCTCCCAGGTGGCCTGACCACCCAGTCCACTGTCTTCACACCCACAAAACATTCCCTCCTCTAACAAGGAAGGCTGAGGACTCTGGGGGAGGGGACTCTAGCCACCAGCTCCATCAGCCCCTGCTCGAAGAGCTTCCCCAAAGCTGCAGAGCTTCCCACAGCTGTGGAAGGAGGCAGCGGGGGTGTGAGTCAGGGAGCCCAGCAGGATTGGCCGGAGCAGGTGAGGGGAGCAGGTGAGGGGAGCAGGTGAGGGGAGCAGGGCAGCTCAGGCAGCTGGAGGAGCAAAGGAGGAGCCCACAAAAATGGGTCCCTTTGACTAGGAGAGGACAGGACAGGGTGTCACCTAGTACATTTCCACTAACCAGATTATAACAAGCAAAGGAGATACAGGAATTAGAAGAGAATAAAAGATGGACTTTAAAAAAGAAATACAGTGCTTAAATTTAAAGGACTTTCAAGCAGTAGTAGAAGCTGGTAGAACCTTCTGGAGCAGACAACCTTCGGAACCCAAACAAGCCATATTCGTTAGCAGGCCAAGGTTCCAGGTGTGTAGGCCCCGCGAGCTCTCTGCACAGCTGTATGGGCCACCTGCACATGCAGTGGTTGTGAACTTGGACGTTTATTGCAGTTCCCAGGCAGGTGGCAGTCAGCTGTCTTAAGGAAGGAAGGGCATTTTTCTGACTCTGTGGGGCGAGTGATAGTGCTGCAGAGAGGTTCTTGTAAGAAGTATAAAGTCAACTTTTTGTCTTCAGAAGTTAAAACATCTCTAGTGTAGACTTGCCTTCTCAACTCATTTACATGACAGCTCTTTCTAGAGCATGCGAAGGCTGAAATAAATTAGCATCCATTCTTTGTTTGTTAAAGATTGTATTTATTTTACTTTCAGAGAGAGGGGAAGGGAGAGAGAGAAACAGCAGTGTAAGAGAGAAACACAACTGGCCATGTCCTGCCTGTGCCCTGACCGGGAATCGAACCGGCAACCTTCCACCGTGCAGGATTACACCCAACCAACTGAGCCACATCGGTCAGGGCTAGTGTCCGTTCTTAATTACAGAGGGTCAAATTAAGGAAGACAGATTTTTATCTCATGTGCTTTGGGGGTGGAGGGGAGCAAGACCATTTATGATCTAGTCTCGGAAGTCACAAACCATCAATTCCCCCGAATTTCACTAACTAGAAATGAGTCACTAAGTCAGCCCACATTCAAGGGGAAGGGAATTAAGCTTTACTTTTTAAAGAGTGTCAAGGAATTGGTGGGCATATTTTTAAACCACCAAAAAAGGGAAAAGAGTGAAGGATGAAGAATCAAAATGCCTATGTTGTAATCTTACTTCTAAGTATTAAGAGACTTGAGCACATCCCTTCGTCTCTCCAGATCTATGTCCCCATCTGCCGAATGAGAAGGCTGACTTCAGTGAGGCTGAGGTTTCCTGTTTCAATGAGTATCTGTCTCAGTGTTCCAGCACTCAAGACCCTAGGCCCTAACCACAGACCTCAGGCAGACTGCCCCTCCCGCTCAGCCAGCCTCACTGGCTCTTGGCCCGAGGAGCAGCTGCCACTCAGCAGCATCCAAGCCTGAGTTCATCCGAGTCTCCAGGGCGGGACCCCAGCATCGGTAGGTGTCATAGCTTCCAGTTGGCTCCAACATGCAGCCACAACACAGAATCGTGGCTCCAACGGCTCTGTGTGAACCCTCCACAGGAAATCTTTTTTCTTTTTCTTCTTTTTTTTTAAGATTTTTATTTATTTGTTTTTTAAGAGAAAGTAAGGGAAGGAGAAAGGGAGAGAAAAATCGATGTGTGAGAGAAACATTGATTGGTTGCCTCTCACATGCCCCCAACCAGGGACCTGGCCTGCAACCCAGGCCCTGACCTGGAATTGAACCAGCAACCTTTCAGTTTGCTGGACGGTGCCCAACCCACTGAGCCACACCAGTTAGGGCCATTGTTTCTTTTTCTTTGTATTGTTGACGCTGTCCCAGATGTCCCCATTTCGCCCCTTTGCCTGCCTTTACCCAGCCCCCAGCCCCTTCCCTCTGGGCGTCCCCGCACTGTTGGCTGTGTCCATGGGTCTTGGGTCCAGTGCGTTTGTGGTCTTGGGCTGATCCTGTCACCATCATCAGAGAGTCACTTCTACAAATAAATGAAATAAGTCACACTTTCGTGTGACTACTTACATACAGATTCGGTTTTTCTTTGATTCAGGGGTCTTACACCGTCTAGAGCACAGACATTCATGCTCAGTTAACTGCACTTCGGGTCTGATTTGCCTAGGAGACCACTTTGCTCTGTGTTGTGGAAGAGAAAAAAATAGAGAAAAGTAAAGTGTAGAGAAATGTTGCACGGCCAGGGTAGAACTTTTTATAGAATTGTTTCCCTTGCTCAGTGTTTCTCATCGTGGTATTGTTTCTGTGGGAAAATCGATCCAATTTTTATCTTTTCGACTTATACCACCTTTTCCTAGAATATAACCTGCTTTAAGTTTAAACAATACCTGCCCCTTTTTTGCTTGTGTATGTGCATGCGTGGGTGTGAGAACAGTCAACATTCTTCAAGACAGGGCAGAGCCCGGCGCTGAGAACGACGCAGGACTTGGAACACCCTGATAAGAGACGTCTCTGCAAGGCCATGGGTGGGGGCCGTGGGTGGGTGCTGGACACGCTCCGCTGGGCTCTTCCGACCCTGGACTCCGCGTCCCTCCGCACACACGCTTCACCTCGGCAAGCCACCGTGTCGTGTGACCAGCTGCCCCCCCCCCCCCCCGTTAGCTCAAGACCGAGGGGTTTTCTGGGATGCAAGATTTTCAGTGCTAAAACTTGGAAAATTCCAGAAAACCAGGACAGTCAGCCGCCCTACAAGTGTCGTGGGCTGGGAGCACCACCTCCATCTTTCACCGGTGCTACAGGCTGCCCCATGGGTGGGACGCTCCGACTGCCGCCCCCTTGGCGAAAGCCTACGACTACCCCGGCACCTGGGGGGAATGACCCCGAGCTGCCCTGCTGAGGAGCCCATGAGAGAGAGAGACGGGGGGTAGCGAAAGCCCCCCCGTCTGAGCCATAAGGCTCTTGGGCACAAGTTTCCAGAGCCCGAGGCCTTGCCACGTTGACTTCCATCGGCAACCTCCAAATACTCGAGTGCCTGTCATTTAAAAAAACAAAAAAGGACATGACCCGAGACCAGGGTATCACCTGGGGAGCTCATGGCTCACCCCAGAGATTCTGACTTCACTGGGGTAGGGCCAGGTTTGTGCACACTCACACACACTCACACACACACACTCTTCTTGACTTATCCCCTCCGGTTTCTCTCCAGTCAGGAAATTTCTCTACTGAGTATGAAAGTTTTATCACTCTTAAACTTCTCTAGTTCTCGCTAAGGTTATCTTCAGCAAAAATGGCCTCTGGAGAAATCAGAACTTTTTGCTGTATCAGTGGCAACCACGTGAGAGATTCTCTTCATGGGCAATTCTAACCTAAAGGTTCAAACCGCTCTTCTTCCTCTGTGAGTAAACTGTCCCCTCCTGGCTGTGGGGGCTTGTTTGGGGTCCCCTTCCTTGCCAGCTCCCTCCTGGGTTTCTCCTCACCAGGAGCCATGGTTTCAGAGGTTCCCTTCTTCCCCATCGGGCACCCTGGTTCTGCCCGACCTCCTGGCCCGGAACCCCCTGAGTTCTATAGTTTTCCTCTCTGGGATGCAGAAATGGAGGGCTCCCATGTCATTCCGTGGGCCCGCCTCACCAGGCCAGCCCGCTGAACAGGAGGCTCAGCCACAGGGTCCCTGGCGTGCCCCTGTCCTGTGCTGTATCTAGAAGGTGACAAGTCTCAGGGCCTGTGGTTGCCATGTGAGGCAAGGTCACTTGAGGCCGAAGCAGCAGTGGTCAAACTAGGAGACCAGGTCTGTCGGCAAGCAACAATGACAGCTGACCGGACAGCCCATGGAGGTGAGCTGACAGCGACTCAGAGCCCAATTTCTCCTTCCAAGGTCCCGGTGCACGTTCTCACACTCTGGCTATGCTCAGGGTCTCTGAGATCCTCGCCCTAGTTTTCTCTTGAGCGAAGCCCACAATAGCAGGTTTCTGTCACTTGCCAGCAATCTATCCCAGGGAGAGTCACCAATGTCCGCTGCCCCCATAGGCACCCTCTTGAAACCTAAATCCGAGCCTTTCCCGCTCTCACAAAGTCTCCTTTTCAGCTCTAAAGAGGCCTGCACCCACCTCGCCTTGGGTCTGTTTCCTGGAGTTTGAGGGGAGCTGGCCTCTTCTCTCACCCGAGAGCCCTCCCCCTGGCCGCCGCAGAGCCCGGGGCCCTCGTCCACCCCTGCAGTTCCCAGGGCTCCGGCTGCATCTCCCCTTTTGTCCCCTGCCTAGGAACATTCTACAACACATCTCTGTAGAACACTTTTGAAAACAAAGTAAATAGTGGTTTCCTCACATTCCTGTCAGCCTTTGTCTTTCAAGACTGAGGAGTATTAAACTGGAGAGCTCCCCACTCCCCCACATTACCCTCTGGCCCAGACCTTTAGGGGTGGGGGGCAGGGCTGCCCAGGATTGCTGGGCTCAGCCGGCAGTTGCGGAACACTTAGTAGGCCTTCGGTTTCACTTGGCTACCCCATTCCACCCTGCCCTGGTACTGGAGTGAGAATCACAGTCAAGTGATAGGCAGGGCACTTAGCTACCTGGAACAGAGTGGCCTTGACTCCAAGATGCACTCCTAACCACCACACGGCCCTGCCTCTTCCTGGCCCCAGTCTCTGACAGACCCCGGGGCCACATCCTCAGCTAGCCTCTCCTTTGTCACAGCCCTGTGCGGGCCCAGGGGGCCTGGCTTCTCCTCTTCTAGGATGTGGTGTGGGCCTCAGGGGAGAGCTAGAACAATGCTAAACCCCTTATCAACAGCTAATCCCATCCTGGCCAGCTTCTGGACTTCCCTTCTCAGAAATGCCAACTCTTATTTTAACACATGGTGTGTTCACTTCTGAGTCACCTCAGCCCCAATTGTGTGCAGCCTCAGTGGTGACAGCCCCTCCCTAACACCTCAGCCAAGCCCTTCCAGAGGAGTAAAGACCAAACACCTTCAAGTCCATCCGAAACAGGGCTGGCTTCCTTCTACCCTGTCACGAACTCCTGGCGCCACAAAATACAGAAGCTAGAAAAGACCCTAGAAATCATCAGATCCCACCCCCTCATTCATAGCTGAGTTCACCAAATCCCAGTGAGGACAGGGCCCCGCTCAAGGTCACACAGCAAGATCAGGCAGAACTCCTAGTCCAGTCCCTTTCTCCTTGTCTTTTCAAAGGACAAGAGGAGAGAGGAAAACTGAGGGGTAAGTGGCTGTTGGGTTTCGTTCCTATTTAGACTTCAGTTCCATACTTGCACAAAAAGGGTGCTTGTTCCACTCGGGAGTCAGCACTGTCCCCCTACCCTCCACCCCCCAGCAACTGGAATGGTCTCAGACACCCTGGGTATCAGGGGTGACTTTGCCCAGAAGGAGAAGTATCAGGAACCCCCATGAATCAGGGCCTCTAAGTGCCCCAAATGTGGCACTTAGCAGGAAAAAGGCTAACGAGAAAAGAGTTGGTACCTTGAGAAGTCCGCACACCAGTCCCTTCCAGTGACATCTGCAGCTCTGGAAAATGAGACCTGGGCCCAAGATGACCTCCCAGAGGTCCTGTTCTGAGACAGTGAGAAGGATTTATAATGCACCCAAAAAAGGGGTTTGGGCTAACCTCAGCAAGCCTTGCATTCAGCCTCCCACAGCTCAGCCCTGCACCCCTGCACTTTCTCACTCACCAGCATGTGGGCTCTGAGGCCCACCAGCAGCCACTATCTGAGCATGTGCGACAGAAAGACCCAGGTCAGGCCACTCACCCTCTCGGTAAAGTGTGTAGACTAATACACCCTTCCTCCAGGGTTGGCTTCAGCACGAAAGCATTTGGAATGCTGCCTGGCATGTGATCGCTTAGCTGTCATTATCATCATCATTATTATTCTAAGCTCTCAGCAGCTAGGACCGGCTTCCTTTAGCCTCAAGTGTGTCACCCAAGGGCCAGCATTGTGAAGGCAGGAAGTGTAAGCCCTGTGATCCTCAGGGTCACACTGGGTACAGCTTCAGGGGATGTCTGCGAAGTGCAGAAACATAAGCCAGAAACTGGGGTTGGAACATTCCAGAACTGGAATGGAGGGTTTGGTCAGTCTGATGTGTGTTCTACAGCTCGGCAAAAACATCTAGTGAACATTGACATATGTGTTGCTCAATATTTGCTAAAATACTTCCATTCTTCCACTTCTGTGTTTTAACACACATAGAAGTCAGACGGAGGTTTTCATGTGACAGGTAGAGAGAGACTAAAAGCCGGAGAGGGTGGGCTCTGGCCTGGGGGGGCGGAGAGCTTAAACTTTTAGCACTTGAAATCCTGATATACTTTGTGATGCCTTTTTAAAGGCATTTGTAAGCCTTATACACTTGATTACAAGCTTGTTTTTAATGTTTCAGTTTTTCATTTTGAAATAACTTAGACTTAAAAATGTATTGCAAAAATAGTAAAAAAAAAATTTTTTCTACATACCCTTCACCTAGCTTTCCCAAGTGTTAACATCTATAAAAACAGACTGATTGAAACTAAGGTATGAACAGTGATACCACACCATCTCCAGCTCCTATTCCAGCTTTGCCCACTGTCCCACTGAGGTTCTTCTGCTCTGGGATCTGTCCAGGCCTATAAACTGCACTGAGTTGTCCTGTCTCCGCGGTCTCCTTCAGTCTGGGACAGTCCCTTCAGTCCCTGTCTTTTATGACCATAACATTTTTGAAGCGCAGTGGCCAATTATTTTGCAGAACGTCCCTCACTTCGGGTGTGCCTGGTGTTTTCCCAAGGTTGGACGGGGCTCACAAATTTTTGGCAGGAACACCACACAACGGGTACTGCGTCCTTCTCAGTGCACCGCACGGGGGGCCCGGTGAAGGTGCTACACCTCCTTCCTGGTCAGGTGAAGTTTGACCATGTGGGCGTGGTGCCTACCAGGTGTATCCACTGAAAAGATGCTATTTTCCCTTTGTAATTAATAAGTAGATTGTGGGAAGATAGCTTGAGACTACGAACCTGTCTTGCTTCTCATCGCACTTGTACCCACTACTTTCAGCCCTCCACTGATGGTCTTGCCTGCGACGGTTAAGACTGTGATGTTGGCCAAATGGTGATTTCCCATTTTCATCATTCCTTCTACATTTATTAACTGGAATTCTACTGTAAAGAAAAGTGTTCCTTTTTTCTTCATTTATTTACTTATTTTTGCAATAATTTCTATCAATGTGGATAGTTACTTTATTCCATGCATTAGAATCCAGTAATATCTTAATTTATCTGTCATTCAAATTGTGTCATAGTCGGCCATTGGGAACCTCTTTAATGTGGCTTCTATGACCTTTTATAATGTCGTCATTTTGAACACTTTTTTTTAGCACCGAAAAATCTTCCAGACTTATTGGTATTTTCCCTGTCCCAGGGAAATCAGCCCTTTTTAGAACCAGCCCTTTCTCCAAGGATTTCCTGGTTCTTTTTACTAGAGAGTGGTACTTAGAAGCCAAAATCTAGGAGTTAATATGCTCATAGCTGCTGGGGTATCATTATTTCCAGTCCCTCTCCAAGGGCAAAGCTAGGAAATATGTTTGCAGGCAAACACACATACGCACCCCCTACATCTATTTCTATTTCTGTATCTAATCACCTATGACTGCAAAACCATGAATTCATGTCAATTCTCCTGACTCCAGTTCAATATACAGTGTGCATTCTAACCTCTCTCTTTCCATTTCTGTTACTCCGACTTCAACAGTGAAAATATGGCTTTCAGTGCCCAAAATATAGTTACTTATCTGCTTAACCATGAAATACACCTGAAATATTTTCAGGTTGTGTGTACCTTTTTAAAAAAAGTGTGCTATTTTAGTCAAACAACAGGATGTTAATGATCTGATGTTAAGTTAAAGGTGAGTAAAGACAGACTAATGTTTAATAAAGTGAGCTCTGGAAGTAGGCAATTCTTAGTCTTTCTGAATCCCAACTTTCTTATATATAAAATAGGGATAATTATATTTAGCTCATAAAATTTTGGTGAGAATGAAAGAGATCATTATGTAAAGTGCTTAGCACATAGGAAGCCCTAGATAGATATTACACATTTTTATTAGCTATCAATTAGAAAATAAAGCAAAATTTTCTATTGTTATCTAGTTGCTTTTACAAAAAGTTGACCCATGATAATACCAGTTCAGATTAGGGAAATAAGTAAGAGGTTGGGAGATTTGAGGTTTGTCATAAAATTTCTTTTCATGTATTCAATAGTTGTGATGAAATAGTTACCATAATATTTCTCCAGTAGATGGCAGCACTTGTACCACTGACTTTGAGTAGGGTTCCTAGTGAATCTTAGTAATAAAGTCATCACAGGAGATCGTTCAAGCCAGCTGGACACAGGACACACCTTTGGAATAGATAGCCACATACAAAATGTGAAAATAACCCACAACTTTAACCCAAAAAATGCCACACATCTAAGCACACCTATGAAGAATCAGCGGGGAACTCAAGCAAGTCTGACCAAACCAGACCTGCCACAGGGCGCCTGCTCCCCGAGGTGGGCTCCAGTCAGGTCCCCCAGGCCTCCAAGTGAGCATCATCCCTGGATGGAAGCTGGGGCAAGTGGGACAGGACTTATTGAAAGTACCACAGAGAAGCAAGGAGCCGAGCAGTTCCTCAGGGCCCTGCCCCTTCATACTCTGGGGTCCCCGAGAACTCATAAATGGACACGAACCCTCCATGCACTCCCACTGCCTCGGGCTACAGAAACCAGAGTCTCAGTCTGAGGCAAGAAACAGAGACCCACTTGGCAGAGCTGAAGAAGTGTTGGAGGAGGACGCAGGGACCACAGTGAAATCCTGTGGCAAAGCAACCGCAGCAAAAGACATGCAGACTCAGGAAATCAAGATGGCCGCACCCTGGCACCTTGCTAGCATCACCAGGTCTGCTCCCTTGAATGGTGGGAAGGGGCGAGAGGTCTGGGCTGTAACCCCGGATCTGCCACTTCCTCACCATGGGCCTTGACCGAGTTATGTGCCCTCTCGGTGCCTCCGTTCCCTCACCTGGAAACCACACAGGACTCTCGGGTTTTCACCAGGACTATATGACATAATATTGCAATGCAACCATTATTATCATTATGCTCATTTTCATTGACTGCTTCATTACAATTTCTGGTCCTCCATGGCTCCTGCTTGCTTAGATCCGTTATGGCTGCCCCAGCCACAAAACTGTAATTCTAAGTAGTCTCCTCCCTCTGGGCCTATCAATTCCAGAGAGAGGCCTCTCTGATTGGCCCAGCACCTCACTGTGCCCTAGGCCTTAGGCTAGGCCTGAGGGTGGACTCCTCCATGGTCAAGTGAGATTTGCCTGGTCCTGAAAACATGAGGGCAGCCAGCACCATCAAGGAGTTTATTCCAGAGGTTAGACAACCAGAAATAAACCAATGACATCTTAACCTACATGTAAAACATGATTTAAAGATATGTATATGCAGTTGTGAATAAAATACAATTCATTTAAGGTGCTATTGAACATAGTAACTTTCTTAATTATTAATATTCTAATCAGGTATTTCATGACAATATTTTATTAATTTTATATACTATTTATTATTACAACAAATATTAATTATCTTAATGAATTAATCTAACTAAAGTACAAAATTTATCATGTGACCCCGGCTGGTATGGCTCAGTGGATGGGGTGCCAGCCTGATAACTAAAGGGTCACTGGTTCTATTCCCAGTCAGGGCGCATACCTGGGTTGCAGGCCAGGTTTCCAGTTGGGGGCGCATGAGAGGCAACCACACATTGACGTTTCTCTCTCTCGTTCTCCCTCCCTTTCTCCAAAAATAAATAAATAAAATCTTCAAGGAAAAAATAAAAAGAAAAGAAAAAATTTATCATGTCGTCTCCATAAAAAATTTTGATTGTAAAAAGTATCTTCATCCTCAAAAATGTGGAATACACACCCCCATACTACATTGGGCTGCTTTGGTTCCACCTTCAAAGCATCAGATTGAGCCTTAAATCCCTAGAGCAGCCCACGTTCCCACCCTGCCCTTTCTCCTGGGGTCCCGCTGGCCTGGGATCCATAACCCTTCCCACCTTTGGCCTCTGCCCCAGCACCAGCCTACAATACCTAGCTTGAGCTGGAGAGAGAGCCACGTCCTGGGGGCTCTGATTTTTAGGGATGCAGCCTCTCACTCCTAACCAAAGCACCTTCTTCTTTTTAATCCTCACTTGAAGGTGTATGTTTATTAATTTTAGAGAGGGAGAAAGGAGAGAGAGAGAGAACACGAATTTGTTGCCTCCCATACACACCTGGAATGGGATCAAATCCACAAACTTTAGGTGTAAGAGATAATGTTCTAATCTGCTGAGACACCAGGCCAGGTCCCAAAGCATCTTCAGCGGACATGACCTGGGCAGTGGGGGAGGGGCATCCAACGATGACTGAGGAGACAGGCGCCTCTGGTCCTCAGGAGTAGGAGGCACTCGCACCACTAGGAGGCATCACAGGCTCTCAGGCAGATGCGTAAGGCAGGCACGTGGTGCGAGTCTTGTGCTTCAGGAAAGGAGCCCACCTCCAGGCTCAGGGTTCCGGGGCAGGTGAGGGAACAGGGCAGGTGCCCAAATGCTGGAACAGGGGCCAAGTCTGCAGCCAGGCAAATTGATGGCTCCAACTTCTGTCTGGGGACAGCCTGCAAAGGCGAATTGTTATTAACTGCGGACAACTGTGATTCTGATCACCTCATCCTCTGCCCGAACTTCTTCTCTGGC